TTTTGTTTATTTTAGAAATTTTTTGGGGGTTGGGGGGGGGGATGGGTTTTTGTTCCCCCCCGCCCCCCCCCCCCGGAGAGGTCCAAAATAAAGGTTTTGGGGTTAGTTGATTAGTTGTCGGATTTGTGTTTTTGCGCCCTTGGGCGTATGTAGATACAGTTGTAGATAGCTGTGGATGGAGCCTAAGCCATCATCACACACACAAATTCCACCAATGCCACTGAACACGCTCACACCTCACCCGACACCACCAGACAGACGTGTATGCAGAACTTTGGTGTGTAGCAGCGCAGGGACGAGTGAGAGTGTTGTGTGGAGTGGACGAAATAAGCTCTCGTCATCAACCATCAACTGCTTGCTGCTGCTGCTGCTGCTGCTGTGTGGAGGTGCACTACTTGCGTCCTCGCTTACGCTGCTAGCAGCAGGCAACGGCCCTAATAATTGCTTTCGACGCCTCCTATGATGTGTCCATTTGGTCGCCCTTGGCCTACAGCAGTATGTACGTCTCATTGTGTCTCTGTTTGGTGTGCGTCTGTTGTGAATCAACAGATCGGCCTACAGACAGACGAAGACAGACCGCAGATTGATTGACTTGTGTGCACTTGTTTCCCTCGAATCTCTGCTAGCAGGAGGTAACTGGCTTCAAATATCGCTCGCAACACCTCGTACGATGTGTTCCTTTGGCCGTCCTTGGCCTGCAGCAGTGTGTACGTCTCATTGTCTCTGTTGGGGGGGGGGGGTGCATCTGTATGGGAAGCTCAAAAGATCGGCCTGCAGATGACAGACAGCAGATTGACCTGTGTCGTCTCCCTCGCTTGTTGTGCTGCGGACAGCAGGCAACGGGCTCTGACAGTCGCACCCGACGCCTCCTATGATGTCTGCCTTTGGCTGCCCTTGGTCCACAGCAGTCTGGTGCACTGTGTTGTGCTGGTCGTCTCGTGTGTTGTCTGCGTATGTGTGTCATCCGCAGATGCTGCTGCTGTGCTATCTTTGGGGGATTCCCCTTCGGCGGCGTGACCATCAGCCAATCAGCTGTCTCTGTATCTACTCGGCTCTACCCCTCTCAAACGTAGATACTTTTTATTTGTTCCCGTCCAACATAAAAACTGCCGTACGCATGGGGCCGGTCCCAAAAATTCTCCAGATTAAGGAAAGAGATCTGGGGTTATGTCATCGTTCTGAGAATCGTTCCTGATAGTCTTGCGAGAACGCACAACAAGAAAAAAAAATCCCGAGCAAGAGCGAAGGGACGCTCGTTCTTCTTTGTACTAGAAAGAGCGTTTGACTTGGATGTGCCCCCCTCCCAAAATCCCTCTCTCCCGAACGCTTGGAAGGCGACATTGCACGTCATCCAAAGGTTGCCGGCCGTGTTAATACTGGTGCGATTTAGACACGCACAAGCATGCAGGCACGCACACTCAACAGCAGTTGGAGCGCCGTAAGGGTGCAGCTGTCACGCATCGCAGCCCGAAAATACAGCAGTAAATGCCGACAGAGGGGAATTTCGTTGGTTGGGATTAGGAGAACTATTGCCCCACAGCCAAATCTCATGAAGAAGCCTAAATCTGAATAATATTGAAATGCACGACTTCTCCAGGAAACTTTCTTTTCTCAATATGTGCTTCCTTAAATTGGAGCCCCAGTCCGAATTTGTGTATCAACAAAACATTCTAAAGGAAAAAAAAGCTCCTGCAACGAACGGGGGCCGTTGGGATTCGTGTGCGTACAGCAGTACCGTAGGTGGCACAAGATACGACACCCTCGACCAATTTTCAAAGCCCGGTTGCTTCCCACCACAAATTGTGGCGGTGCCGAAAATGGTGGTGTGGAAATTGTCTCCTCGAGAGCTGTCGGACAACTTCTCGCGGGGTTTACGCATCCTCTTCGTCGTGGAGTACATTAGTACATCGATACAAGGTGTGTGGTGTCCTATGTCACCCACGGTAGACCTGTACGTGTGCATACGTCATACACACGTTCCCCCACCGATCAATTTTCTTGTACATTTTGCCCGTGGCGCAGGTGTGTTTCGACGTGATCCCTCCCCACACACCGAAGAAGCAGCAATAACAAAGGTATCCACCACGAGCTATGTCTCGTGTGTGGTGATTGACACGAGCTTTGTCTAGTGTGCGGTGGTTAACACAGACCAAGAGGCTGTAAGACGCTCAGAAATTGCGAGCACGAGAGTCTGGCACAGCCTTAAAAAAATGTTTAAGTCGCGTCTGCTGGGATCAGTTTGGTTGTTTTTTGCCCCTGGGGCAGGTTTGGGGTACCGATCATCCCTCCCCACAAACCGAAGCAACAGCAGTGACAATGGCAATTGGGGCCACGATCTGTGCGTATGGTTCCCTTCCCCCGCCAGTGCTGTCTTGCCCCTCCCAGCGGTGTTGCGTGTCTGGCTGAGTGCTTCCTCTGTTCCAACTGCGTGACTGCGTGTGTGTGGTGTGGGAGATCTCCGATTTTTTTTACCTACATTTCCTCTACAACACCCCGGGGATGGGGGTGAGTATCTCCTATGGTATCTCCTAAGGTTTTTGGGTACAAATGCCGGTAAAGCACGGCCATCTCCCGTCGGAGCACGACCAAACCGGTGTAATGAAGAGTGCCCTGTTGTTCTTCCTCCTCACAAGCCCGCAGATCGTAAAGCGTTGCTCCATGGACCTCGTTCTGGTTGCAAAAGAGGGCATATTCAGGCAGCCGTAATTCAATCTTGGGCCCCTGGTATGTAGATAGAGCCTTTTGTTCCCTCTTGGGATGAAGGGAAAAAAGGTCGCGCTTCGCGCTCCAGCTCATTATTGTTGTCTAGAATACCCAACCGGTGCGTCCAACATCCATGTCAAAGCGAAGGTGTACCAGTGGCAAATAAGAAGGACGTCTTGAATTATGTGGGCCGCAGTAGTCTCGTTAATTGTGTAGTCTCATGGACACAACACGAGATAAGTTGCATAGACACCAGGTTTTGGTGCAGGGAATATGATGTACACGTCACACCTTTTTGCTTGGTTCTTAGTACCTTGAGAAATCGAGACTGGAGTTCTTTGGTTCTTATAGCAGCCTACCGGGGCCCCAGTATCCATCCCCGCGCAGAAATACAAACGATATTGTGGTTGAAAGTGTTTTTAGAGGAGACCACCATCCCGATGTAGTTTAAACTTCCCTGTTTATCGGCAAAACCGGGCACCATCTCCTTTGCCATAATGGAAGGACCTGCCATCAAAACTAACTATGGTCTCATACGTATCTCTGCTGCTTCTTCTCTCTCCCCCTTCCTTCCTTCCGCAGCCAATTTCGTTTGTTCAACTGCACTCTCGTGCTGTCGCCATCGCGGACGCCTTGACAGGGGCGGAAGGCCTCGGAAGCCAACGCCCGGCGACCCCAACCTTCACTGTTGCCATCCTTTGCGGGAAATCCGACATCGCCGAGATCTGCGCCGTTCTAGCTGTGATACTCGCTGGGGGATGTTTCGTTCCCATTGACGACAAGCTGCCTCTACCTCGTCTGTCCGAAGTTTTCAGAGACGCGCAGCCAGATGCGATAGTTACCACGCGGTCTTTTTTAGCCGGTGAAAGGGCGGCTGGTGGTAGCGGTATCCCCGCTGTCATCGAGCAGCAAGGGTGCCAAATTCTCCACCTCGAGGACAGTGGAAAACCAAGCGAATCCCGCGAGACGGTAGACACTTTTCGAGAGAGTAAGGCGCACGACGAGAACGGAGAGAGCGAGGAGAGTATCGGGAAGCATTCATGTGGAAAAAGGGTTCCGAGGTCCTCAGCATGTACGGCATCTACCGCTGCTCGCCATGCCAACGTCGTACCCGACGATGAAGGCCCTGTTGCGGACAAAGGGAATTCAAGCTTAGCAGGGCAAGCCTGTCCGGGCCCATTGGAAAACGACACGAGACCAGGTGCAGCCAGTGAAAGCAAGGGATTGGCTGACAGTGGCCTGTATGACAGAAAGGAGCTCCACCCGTGCCCTGTGCCTTGCGATGAAGAAGACTTGCTGTATATTTTGTACACTTCAGGGACCACTGGGCCTCAGAAGGGTGTTCGGGGCACTCGATCTGGAGCCGTAAATCGCATCCTTTTCGGGTGGAGCTTGTGCCCTTTCCGTGGCGACGGAGAGCTGGTCTGCAGGTGAACTTGAAGATTGTAGCGATTGGGAGGGCCAGCATGGGTATTCTGTCATCCCTCATACACGCGTATGTTCTAGTCGTGGCTTCCTCTCGGTGGGTGCGCCTGGTGGCATTTGCCTACACGGTTAGGCTGTTTTTGAACTTGCTGGGTTACTGCATTACACATGGGCCATATCGATAGACAACAAAGCCCGGGATCATCTTGAGGTATCCAACCTGCACCACATCTCTCACCTTGCATGGTCGTGTAGTGGTACATCTCGCACTCGTGCAGGTCGTCACCCTGTCCCCCGAATGAAAATCAAGGGTAGAGGTCTTCCAAAACGTTTTCGAACGATTCTCCCAACCTGCGTGCGTGATCTCAATGATTTGTTCGGAAATTGCAGGCGGACTCCTTCTTGCTTCGTGGATTTCGTGGCCGAGGTGTTTTGTCCACTCTTGGCTGGAGTTCCTTTGTTTCTCCCCACCCCCGGAGCTCACGCCGATCCGCTGCTGCTGGTCCCCGCTTTGGCCGAAGTCAAGGCTACCCGTATTACCTTGACGCCATCGTTGCTTGCGTCGATGCTTAGAACCACAAGTTCTGATACCGAGACGTTGCTGCCGGACGTGCATGTAAGACGTTTGGATTCAAGTTTATGACCTTGGAAAATTGAACACAATGAAGCCGGCAAGCTTCGCAGTTCCATATTTACCCCCGATCATAATGGTCGTGACCAATGGTCAGCATTGTGGCGTGCTTCCACGGCTTGAGCACGCGCTTTTAGTGGTTACAATACATCCCTACTTCCGGTATCGACGAGACCTCCATGATACTCGTTTCTTGCAAGGTTAAAGGTGGGCTAACATTAGACAGGCGACCGTACCGATTGGTGGCTGTCTTGTTGTCTGTTCTGTGTTCAGCTCGCGCTCATTTTCTACTTATTTCGCGTGCTGATATTTGCGGCATTCCTCTCCCTCACTGCTCGTCTGAACCTTAATTTTGTTTTTTCTAGACCTGGTTTATAAGTGGCGAAGCTCTCCACCCCGATCTTGCCCTCTTGTTCCGCCGACGGGCTGCACGGGGGGCACGGCTCATCAACCTTTACGGTAGCACTGAGGTATGGGGTAACTTTCATTTGTCGTTGACAATTCTCTAATCTAGCAGGTGGTGTGTTTCGGGGCTGCTCTGTCAGAGAATTAAAGAAATGCTGAGTCAAGCAAAAACACACGCGGACACCACCTAGCTGGCATGTTGCTCGACGTTGATCCACCGGACGTTTAGGTGTCTGGCGACGCGACATTTTGCACGCTGGATGACATCATTGATACGGAGAGAGGCTGCGCTGGTTTCAGGCCTTCGGGTGATATGGGCGTTTTGATCGGTAAGCCGCTTCCAGGCGTCCACATTTCCGTGGTGGGCACGGATTTGACTCCGGTCCCCATTGGCCAAGCGGGGGAGCTTTTGGTCGGAGGCGTGGGCGTCGCGCTTGGCTACCACCGCGCCCCCCAGGAGGCAGCCACTAAATTTTTGCACACCGTGGCGCTCAGCACTATGCGGGAGAGGGAAGACGTGGTACACATGCCTGGGTTGAAGCCTGGAAGCCGCGTGGTTCGCACCGGTGATCGTGTGGTCCAGCCCGTGGCGGACGGACCGTTGTTTTGGCTGGGAAAAATGGACGGCGAGGTATTAAAATGTCAATGCGGCCTCTTTGTTGCGATCAGCGAGAGGCCCTCACCCAGCGTTACTCCCCCCGCGTTGCCCTGTCGGTAGTCAAGGCAATGTTCTCGTCGCATACAGCAAATGCTGTGGTAACATCTCTGTCGTACGTTTCATACACGCTGGGGTTCAATCAGGCCGCCCCGCTATATGCATATGATCACACCCATACCCCGCCGTCCCTCTCTCTTTTTCTCAATGCCGTGCTTGGTAGTCCCTATTCGTCTATCTCTGATGAAATATTCCCCAAACTCTAGTCGCCTTCAATCGTATGGATTTCGATAGGTCTTCTTCTGGACATGAGCATCTATTCGCTCAACACCGTCAAGCGACCTCCAGCAAGACACCAGGCGAAAGAAATATCCGAGGCATGCTCCCAGAGACATCCCACCGTGGCAGCGACGGCTTGAAATGAGGGCCGTATTTGCGTTAAACACCAAGAAGACGCAAGGGTGTGAAATATATTGCTGTAGTTTACTAGATTCAGCCACGGTAGCACATATTACGCCGGCTACCAGGCGAATGGCCGCCCCCATACCTCCGCCGTCGCCTATCAACAACGCGTGGCAGCCACTGTGTATCGCGCTTGAGCTGGGTAAATAGAACGGCGACGTACCGCAAGAGGCGGAGAAATGTCACTGCCCCTAGACAGATTTTGAAAGATCTATTGCTCCACAACCAAGCTTGCACCAACACGACAAATTGTTCTAGAAACTTCTCGTCGGGGGCTTTCCGTACACGTATCGGGTTATTTCCACACCCACGACGTTGAAGAGCTGAAAGTCGTCTAGCGGAGTGTCATCTCTCAGCCTCTACGGTATGTAGGCAACTTGCGTAAGAAACAGAGTGCTCTCGAGGCAGCTCAGCTGGCACCCTGTCCCGCAGTCGAAACAATACGACATTGCTGATTTGACCAAAACACCGACCTTAATGGCACGTGATCATTTTTTGTTCTTCATGATCGTGATGGCCTTGGCGTGAAGGACACGTGTCGCGTGTGTGATACTTTCCCGACTTCACCCCGTCGTGCCAGGTGAAAGTGCGTGGTGTCCGCGTTTCGCCCGAGGCGGTGGAAGTAGTGGCATGCAGGGCTTCGGGGCTGCCCGTAGGAGCCTTTGCCGTGGTGTACGATCATGGGATGGACACTGACGGCAGCGCGGGGGGTGATTCCAGTGCGGTCACCAAGGCCGCAATCGCTACAAGATCTCCCGATCGTGGACGGCTCTGGGGTTTCTTTGAGCCAAACGGTGTACAAGTGAACAACGAAGGGCTGGCGAAGCTGCGGCTCCAGCTAGCCGCGGTACTGACTACGGCACAACTACCAGCAGTTCTGGTACCTGTCGTCGGGAGGTTTCCTTTGACCACCAGTGGGAAGGTAAGCTCAAGCTGATGTCTCTGTTTTGTGACATTTCGATTGTGCCACCTGCCAGAAAATCACTCCCTGCACAATTAGATGGGGAATCACAGTTTACATGAGGATTCCACATGTATGCTGCTGGCAGGTTGACAAGCGGGCGCTTTTGAGAGAACATTGGAAACAAGTAGAGGCACTCGGCGGACGACCAGTCGCAAGCGCAGAAGGAGTAGATGCATATCTGCCTTTCCCGACGGACGTCACAACCCAAAAAGTGGGAACCCTTGCTGCTGCCAGAGAGGCTGTCGCGCGGGCGATAGTCAGTGTCCTCCCCGACGCTCGGGCTTCTATCGCGTCCTGGTTAATAAACCTCGAGGAATCCGCCCCGGGGAGCTCTAACTGCTCGAATATGACGTTCGGTGAGTTAGGGGGCACGTCTCTCTTAGCCGTTGAAGCCGCCTGGCGAGCTCTCCGCAGCACAGGATGGACAATGGCGGGGTCAACTAATACACCAGTCCCAACGTCTTCGATGCTGACTGCCAACGATTTTCTTCGCGGCACGCTCGACGATGCAGCATCAACCCTTCACGATATTCTGGAAAAGGAAAGGCATGCGGAAGAGACGAAAAATTCTTCGGGGACGGCGATAGGCCTTGCCGCTGCAGGATTGGCAGCTACCGGCGCTGGACAACGCAAACCTCCCGTGCCTCCTGCCTGTCCTGGTTTGCTTTCGCCGGCGGTAGCGGATGCCTCTGCGGCGGGGTTTCAGAGTACATCTTCCCCAGGCCGAAAGAGGCAGCGGCTTGATTTTGAAAAGCGTGACCAGACGACGCACTCACGCTCATTTCTGGCGCTTGGTCGAGCTGCATCGGGCTTGCCTAAAACCGTCGCCTGCCTGGGCGAAGTAGGCGATCGAGTCGGCGATGGAAGCGGGCTAAAAGGGGCAAAAGCGGACCTTGAGGTTCGTTGGTCTTCGTGCCTTACGAAATGCATTGACGCTACTCCGCTCGTGTTCCTCCCCAAAAGCGAGAGGGAAATTGTCGGCCGATCTAGGACGGGAGGTGTCGACAATGCCGGCGGCATGGTGGCCGAAGCACCCTCGCAATTTGCCTCGCCCGAGAGCGTTGGTCCGTCAAGTTATTGTCCAAGCGTTGTAGGCACCCAGCGTTTGGGAGGGCGGGTGAAAGAAGCTGGAAAATCAACCACATGCGGCGATGCTAGAATTTCCACCTCGCATGTCTCGTCGGGGACCGTCTATATCGGGTCTCACTCGGGCGAGTTCCAGGCTCTGGATCTCGAAACTGGTGATCGTGAATGGTTGTTCACTGCCGGGGGTCGCATTGAGTCCGGGGCGGCCTGCTCCTGCGACGGGTCGACTATTTTCGTTGGATGTCACGATGGGCGCCTGTATGCAATAGACCGTCGCATGGGAGTTTTATCGTGGTCGTTCGAGACGGGCGATGCCATCAAGTGCACCCCCATTTGCATGCCCGAAGCGCCATCGTCGGATCTCACCAACCGAGGGGCGAGGAAGGAGGGGGAGCTGGTCGACTGGGGCACCGTGGTGTTCGGATCGCACGATGGAGTTCTGCGGAGTCTGTGGGAGGCTGATGGTGTACTCCGATGGAACTTCGATTGCGGTGGAGCTCTCTTTGCCTCTCCAGCGCACGATGCGGAGGCTCGCGTTGTTTACGCTGCAACGACGAAAGGGCGAGTGGTTGCCCTCGACAACTCCGCGTTGGTGGCATTCGCGGGAACCGAAGCAGCAGGTTCCGTCGATCACAACCGCAAACTTACCGGTTCCTCAACAACACAACCCACTCTCCTCTGGGATACGTACCTGCCGGCACCCGTCTTTTCTTCCCCTGCGGTGTGTAGTGCAAGTGGGACTGTTGTTCTTGGGTGCGTGGACGGGGGACTATACTGCGTTTCCTCTGTCGGAGAGCAGGTGTGGGTTTGTCGCCGAGGGGACAAGCCCGTGTTCTCTTCGCCTTGCATACTTCCACCCCCTTGCAAGGAGATGGGCGGGGATGTGAACAACGCAAGCGGAACGCGGGTCATCTGGGGATGCCACGATGGGTGAGCCTCTTAATTCATGTGTCAAGGCAATGATTTTGTGCGTGCCACCTCTTTGACGGCTTGTTGCGAACAGTTTCTATGGTTTTAGGTTCCAAGGTTACACACGTTTTTTCGTCTTCTTGAAGCTGCAGGCGTCTACAGGCATCTAGAGAAGTTGCAAAGCTTAAGTGTACTTGGTCTACACCCATTAACGTACGGTGATCTTTGCAGGGTGTCCACTTTGAATTTTTGCCGCTGCTCGTCCCGTACCCCCATGTGTCGCGGCTCTGTGTGTGCTTAACCCCAGCCATAAGTTGTCCGGGCGAAACTAATGTGTGTGCACGCTGGTGAAACGAAATCGCCCCAAAACTCCCATGCTCAATTTGTTGTACCTCACCCCTGCATTGTGTCTCACCCTACCGTTTCCTTTTACCTTGCTGCTGCTTGCTGCTGGTAGGGTCGTGCGTTGTCGGAGCGGCGTTGACCTGGCTTGGGAAACAGATGTTCGCCGAGGCCAGCCGGTGTTCTCTTCCCCATGCTTTGCAGCAGTAGCCTGCGAAGGGTGCGCTCTCCTTTGCCCTCTCGTGCTTGCTTGCTCCGTACCAGGCTTGATATCTGCTCTTTCTCTAGCTGACGGAGAGGTACTCGGCGAAATACAGTTGCCAGGAGAAATATTTTCGTCTGCCGTCGTTGCCGGGCCATCTGTTGTCGTGGGGTGCCGAGACAATCGCGTGTATGTTCTAGACATCCTGATGACGTGTCCGAAATGTGTCCAGACCAAGGCGGTTGCGACGGTTTGCTAATTCTTCCTCTTGATTGAGCTACTGCTGTTCGGGGGTGCGTGCAGCCGGCGGCGCCACGATCTTATTGCCTTTGCTGATGATGCTGCCCGTGAAAACATGCTGGGGTTTACCAAAAACGCGACATACTGCACGGCGTGCCAGTTCACTAAGCTAAGCTCATGGTTGTGGCGTGCACAGCGCGGGCTCATTCGGTGATGTATGGCCGATGAGCGTCCGTGCGGCTGAAGCTGCCCCGCCTCTCAATGATTGACCACTTTTTGCGTGCCTCGCCACGGGAGAATACTTTTCCGCTCGCGATGGCTGACGTCCGCGACTCGGTTACACACTGTTTCTCCATCAGAAAGCGATAGTTCCGTGCGTAGCACTGATGGACTTCTTTGCCGTCGACGAGGGAAAGGAGCAGCTGAATCCTTCTCGCGATAAACTAAGCACCGCAGAAGGAAGCGAGAAGTAGAAAGACTCCTGTGTGTAACCTCGGTTGGTGTGTCCAGAAATCTGACCGAAACTAAGTGTGAAAACCCGTTCATAGAAAACGTAGCAAGACAATAAAATTAAGGTTACACAACGACTAAAGAAAAGAAGAATTGCCGAACTGCAAATGGGGGGTGTTTCTGACGACGCGACTATCCCCAACAGACTATCATCATACATTTTGCGATGTATAGTATAGATTTTTGTGACAGAAAACAAGTGTCTTATGACGTCTGTGTTTGTTGCAGGTTTTTTTAGGAAGACAAGTTGGGATTCTTGCGACCGCAAGCCTCGCCAGAATCGAAAATCAATGGGTGGGGTGAAAGTAAAACACCTGCCTCCGATAGATAGATGTGATGAATGGTTGGTGTGTAAGTATTTTTTAGTCGTCGTTAGACTATGCATTGGGGTTTGGCAATAATTTATTTTTGAAATCAAACAAACCTGTCGCCCCGGTATCGTCGCAACCTTCTATAGTGGCCAGGTCAGGGGTTCGAATCCCGCCGGTGTAGACTAGTAAAAAAAGCGACATACATGTCTTGCTGGGAGTTTCTCTCGCCTCCTTTCAAGTCTAGTCTAAAAGTTGACAGGCTAACAGTCCTGGATAGGCTAGTCATATGCTTCAATGAATGAAGCGTTTGTGCGACCATCCAGTCTCTACAACTAATTCCGCGAGCAGCGTACAGCGTTATCTCCCCTGTTATTTTTATTGGGAAATAGACACAAGTGGGTATACCCACCCCTTTCTCGGACAAAAGTGGGTACTCGAAAATCCAGCGCGCGCGCACTCCATAGGCGCCCCCAAACGACTCAAAACCCCCTTCTGACACCTGGGCGACACAGCCAGGGACCATACACAGCACCGGCATCGTTTTTTCCCCACTTTTAGGCACACCTTTGGCCCTAATACCGCCGACGCGCACAAGGTCTCACCAGAGTGCCCACTTATGTCCGACATCGCGGTGGGTATACCCACCGGCGTCAACTAACTTTTTCATGTACCCACTTGTGTCTGTATTTTGACCCACTTTTGTCCAAATTGTTCCCACTTTTGTCCACTTACGGACGGCGGAAATCGAGCGGAAATCGACCTCCACGTCACCGCACGGCAGAACATCGAATAGCCTCGGAACGTCTCAGAACCTCCCAACACCGTATCCATGGCATCTTTCCTATCCATGGCTGCCGACTGCGGACTGACCACGGAGGAACATGTCAGAAACATGCCAGACCCCTTCGGTACCGGCACGGGATGATACCAGGCACGGGAAGATACCCGCGGCAAGCCCGGCAAGCAGCGCACTAACGGCACGCCACAAATAAATGCGTGACACACAACGGACAACACAACCAACGGGTCGCGCATACAGAACAAAAAGACGCGCAAACAGCAACAACACACACAAAAAAAACACCAACCACCACGACGAGTGCACACCGACTCGTCACGGCAACAGTAGGCCTGCCGCGGGTATCTTCCCGTGCCGGCACCGAAGGGGTCTGGCATGTTTCTGACATGTTCCGTGGTCGGTCCGCAGTCGGCAGCCATGGATAGGAAAGATGCCATGGATACGGTGTTGGGAGGTTCTGAGACGTTCCGAGGCTATTCGATGTTCTGCCGTGCGGTGACGTGGAGGTCGATTTCCGCTCGATTTCCGCCGTCCGTAAGTGGACAAAAGTGGGTACAATTTGGAAAAAGTGGGTCAAAATACAGACACAAGTGGGCATGAAAAAATTAGTTGACGCCGGTGGGTATACCCACCGCGATGTCGGACATAAGTGGGCACTCTGGTGAGGCCTTGCGCGTGTCGGCGGTATTAGGGCCAAAGGTGCGCCTAAAAGTGGGGAAAAAACGATGCCGGTGCTGTGTATGGTCCCTGGCTGGTCGCCCAGGTGTCAGAAGGGGGTTTTGAGTCGTTTTGGGGTCGCCTATGGAGTGCACACGCGCTGGATTTTCGAGTACCCACTTTTATCCGAGAAAGGGGTGGGTATACCCACTTGTGTCTATTTCCCTATTTTTATCTCTCTCTACAGTATCTGGGAAAAGAGTCGAAGAGATGTAGATTAGCAACGAATCCCATAGCATCAGCGAAGGCTACCTGTATTTCCGCGATTTCCCGAGGAGCACAGAGCGTTATCTCCTCTGCTGCTCTGGGGATAACAGGCTGAACAAGATGACAGTTTGGTGGCCGCCTTTGCATTTTTTTTTTTTGTCTTCACTTCAAATCAGCGCTCACAGCACTATAGTAGTGCCGTTTACTCCAACCCGTGGTCACCCCTCTCTACCCTCCCCTCCTGCGGTACTTTGCCTTCGATTTTTAATGCGAGAAGAGTTTAGCACTCTCTTCCCTCTGTGTACACACGAACCAGCGCTATCCACTAATAATGGGGCAGAAGCGGAAGCGAGAGAAAAACTCACTTTGCAAGAAAAAAAGCTCGCCTACACCGGGATTCGAACCCCCTGATCTGACCTCTAGAAGGTTGCGAGGATACCAACTACATAGACCACCGGGGCGATTTATCTGTGTATCGATGGTATGTACGGTAATTACATACAAAGGATGTGGCATCCGCACTGTTTGGCAGGTAGTACAGGCCATTCCATGTTGATGGATTCACCAGTCGTGCTTGTTTTGTTGGTATTGTAGGGTAGGAATATGGTGTCAGCGACAGACAACAATCAATAACGGATTGTGTGATTTGGAATGAATGTAGTTTGTGAGAGTTTTTTTTTTTTTCTTAATATGACACAACGAATCCATCTCTATCATAGAAAAGCGTCTGGGGTCTGAGACAGATTAGCAATGAATTCATAACGTCAGAAAGTACCTGTATGTCTACGGTTTCCCAGACAGCATATAGGGACATCTCCCCTGCGGGTAGCAGGCTCAACAAAACAGTTTGGTAGCTGTCTTGTGTGTCTCATATATGTTATGTTTGGGAAGGTGCAGAAGAAATGTGTCAGGTACTGGTCGGGTGTTTTGTGTGTGGCACCCTTTTAGTCGTAGGGCATGCAATCTCCCTCAGTTTTCAAACGTATTTTCAATGTGGTACGCGTATGTACCGGGTATGTATGTATATGTGCGGACACATTTCGGAGTATGTGCGGACACACGGGAGTGGTCTCACCATCTTCTTACCTTTTTGTGTAATTTCGTGTCGTTAGATGTGCAAATGGTACGGGAGAACATTCTTTCATCATTGCCTCCTGACGTGGTCGCCGATAGAGGCGTGTGGTTGAGGTTTCATCACCGACATGTGGGTGTGTGTTAAATGCAGTGGGTATGGTTACCTATCTCGCCCATGTGTAGGCAGAAGGTATGGCTACCTCTCCCATTAGTAGGCAACGTGGACCACAAGTAAAGACAGGGTCTATCATTTCATGTATGCTACCACATCATTTGTATTTGGCATGAGAGGAATAAGAGGTTTTTCTAGTTTGTAAGCAATTTTGACGGTGTATGGGCAGGGGGAGTACTCCCTGTGTCCGTGTTGTACCCAGGTGCAGGTGTTGTCGCGTCAGTTGTCTTTTATGGAAGTATATTCAGTGTGAGTGTTGAGTGTTGACGAAAAATGGCGGCGAAATTCGTACCGGTTCACACACGGAACGGCGTTCCCAACGCCGCAACACCTCACATAGACACGAGGAGACTATGGAATATGACAACTTCGCTCTTTATTGTCATATTCCATAGCGAGGAGACGGCCTGCGTGGCCAGAGAATTTGTGGGAGCTCTCCATTTTCAAGCATCAGAGCAGAGTCACGGTTGTGCTTGATGGAGCCCTGTTGTGTTCGTCGGATGCGGCGGCGGGTAGAAGACGGCCAAGCAAAATACTCGTTTACCCCCGTGCGTGCTGGCGATTCCTGACATGGTGTTATTTTTCAGCTGTGGTGCATGCGCGCCACATGACATTGTGCAAGATGACACCTCGCTTGAAACATTGGATCAACTCCAAGGGAACCCCGCCACCGACCGTGTGGAAAAGGTCATCAATTCCGTCGCGGTGGTCTCTTCTCCGGAAGGAGCACAGGAGGGCCGGAAAGCTTCGGCGACCGTCAACGGTTCGTACGGTCCACCACGAGAATCCAAAGCATTGGCCGACGTCAGCACTGTTCCCGATTCCAAGACGGCAGTCTCTCTTTTAGGAGGATCAATCTTCGAGGAAAACTCCAGAACAGGGCAGACTGCATCCACGGGAGCATCGACACGAAATTTTGACGGGGTTGCACTTGGTTCCTCAGCATTGCGTGGTTTGGGCGCGACAAGCCCTCACAGGAGTTGGAACAATGTGAGGCATTTACACTGCTGCTGTGCTGGACTGTAGACTTGTAGACTAATCGCTGACAGCAAGGGTGTGCCCATAGCGTAGGTATTTGGCCCAGGTTCCCCACTCTTGATGGCCACATCAACTCGCAACTGCACAAAACACATTAAATACACTGACTGGACACTTACAGAAGCAATCATAATTGTACAGCAAAAGAGAATGGCACACATGCAGATTTATCCCACACTACTGCTGTTTAACATCTACTGAGGTAATGCCGAAATACAACCCCAAATCTCTTTGTTTCATGCCGAAATCTCCAGCGAAGAAAGTTGACATTTAACTCTTCTTCCTAAAAGCACTACAACAGGAGACTGTCCATGTGCCGCGATCCCGTTTAGTGTAATTTTCCCTTATTTCCAACAATGCGAGCCGCCGCCAACGGAAGGTGCCACCAAACCATCGTATGTGGGTGGGCGTGGAGTGGACATCTGCTGCAAAGCTTCTTAAATTCCGCGAAGCAGTGGGCTTGGTCCTGGATTTGCAGCAACTTCTGCATAGTCGTTTGTGGATTTGGCTAGCCGTAGCTTCTCAATAAGCCCGAGAGGCTGTCAACGGATGCGCTTTAGTCGCGATCAACCTGAGGCATGATCGGTGACCGACCCAAAGAAGAGGTGTTCACTTGCACATCGCCACTACTCCTGGCAAGCAATCGCAATAATAGACCATAGGGCTGCGTGGAATTTCAGAACGCCGGATGTAGCAAAATAGCTGTCGTGGACACCTACTGTAGAGAGATGACTTTCAAATTAACTTGCTTTTCGAAGATGCGCGCGCCAGCAGCGATCAATGCAACTTTTCGGAAATCTGAGTTTGTGTGCAGGCGAGAAAAGAACTGCGATGGCATGAGGGGCAATGCAATGATGGTCATAAATCCACCACGTTCGCGGAATGTTCTCCATGGTCCCAAATCAAGTTTCATCTGTCCAGACCCCTGAATCAATGTTGAATTCCTTTGATTTGGTTGGCGGGTTGCCTCTTCGGCAATTACCCCACGAGTGCTGGAGAGTGGCCTCGGCATCGTTCCGTTGACCGCTGTAACATGATGTCTCAGTGCACTTTGGTTTGTTTCGGACAGCACCTTCAAGTAGTCTACGCCTGCGGCAAATTTCATTTTGATCGTACTGCAGAGTTTAACCAGTGACCTTGGTTCTCTTACGGGCCGATTTCAACACTACTGTTTTGCTTCCAAATTTACAAATGTGTCCGACGTTGCAGATTTCCAATTTGGAAGCAACTCGTTCCAAATGCTTCGGTGCCAGTAGTGTCTAAACTTCCAACTTTCAATATTTTTTTCCTCAGCCACAAATCGTATGATCTACGGATTTAGAAATTTGGAAATTTGGAAGCGGAGTAGCTGCTGTTTAAAACGGTTCCTAAGCTGGGCCGTTTTTTAATTGCTTCACGCATCTCATCACGACATTGTGTTGATCTTGTCTCTCTCCTTCAGCCCTTCCGGTACAGCCGGTATCGCGAGCAAGGCTTCTACCTCTGAGACCTCCGTTTTCACCTGCGATGCATGATTTCAGTTTAGTTGCGAGAACTGCTCAGCAGCCCACTTTCCTCACTCTTGTTGGAGAACTTGAATTCGCAAAAGAGTGCTCTCTATACTTTGTCGTTGTGAAAAGGGGGGGTCGTCCTCGACAGACGCTGGGGAGATGAGACCCTTTTGTACGGTCACCTGCACATCTTCTCGATGATGTTGTTGGGGAATTTGTTGTGTGTGATGGACAATAGCATAATCGTTCGGTTGTTCCATTGGTCCCCCGTGTTAGGATAAAGGTACCGGGTAGATGTCGGATTGTCTTTCAAGGCAACAACAACAACAACAACAACAACATTTTATGTCAAGTGTACCACGACAAATCGAGTTTTTCTTACTCGTTTTTCTCTTGTTCCCCTCTGCTCTTCTCCGCTCAGCTGAGTTCGTTTTCCGGAGCAGAAAAAAGCTCGGTTCCCAGAGAGCACCGCCATTTGGTGGCCCTAGCCGCGCTCTTACCTCAGCGCGTGATCGAGAATCTCGTGGTGCAACGGCGGATAGGGAAGCCCGGGAAGCCCCGCTATGCCACGGAATGCATGGACGCGGCCTTGCTGTTTGTTGATATCAGTGGCTATACAGCGTCGATGGAAATGTTCGCTCAACAGGGCGCTCAAGGCATTGAGAAGTTTTGGAAAATGTTCAACGCATACTTCTGCGACCTCTTGGATATCATTCAGGTAGTTTTCCTCCCTTTCGCCGCACTCCATCTTAGTTCCTATATGTGCGAGAAGATGTTTTTCAGTCCATGGAATTGTTCGCTCCGGACAATGATTGTGCGGCGGCTCCACGAATCCCTCTTCTGGGATTGTTCCATTTTGGCTTTACTGCTATAAGGTAGGTAATCGCGACAACGATGCCCTTCCATGGTCTTAATGGCCGTCGGCGATCGCGTGGTTTCGAAGAATAGTCTCACGGAAAGATCAGAGAGGGTCGTGCACTAGGCGAGGCCGTACGGCACACAACTACTGCATGAGGTGCCATTGGTAGAAGTTAGCTGATACTGATATTTTCGCCGGAAGCCAGGCGTAGATTGGACACCAACAGGAACTTTCAACTGTTTCCAACGCCACGTTATTTTCTCGAAGGAACACTCGGATTTGTTCCTCTACGGTATGTAAATATGACTCCTCGTGTGAAAACTCGCGGAACCAAACGCCTTGCAGGGTACCGGCGGAGATATAGATTGTTTCGCCGGGGATGCCATCCTCATTGTGTACGAGACAGAGAGGATATGGAAACGCACAGGCGAGAGCGTTCGGAAGTGCATCAACACCCTTGATGGCACCCAGCCCACAAAGCTTTGCTTGGCGACCATGGCCGCCGCGCAGTGCGGCGGCAGGCTCCTGAACAAACTTAGTCCCTACAACTTCTCGGACGGTGTTAACGAATCCACTCTAACACTACACGGGTCCATCGGAGTTGGGAGTTTGCGCACGGTCAACATCGGGGGTACCACGGCTCAGGTGAGTGAGGGGCACGGGGGCGCACAACAACCCTGGCTGAGGGGGGATCTCGGGTTCAACCTTAGAACTTGTTTTAAACCCAGTGCCGAGCTCGTGATTTGCCAGTGTCCCTCGGTGGTGAGATCTTGAACAGAGCGGGGGCTCGTAAGCGGTCGAAATCGCTTGTCACGTGCTTCGGTGACCATGCTAGACCCATCCCGCAAAAGGCGACGTACATAGAGCGGTTCATTCAGGTCGTCACCAAATCGATTTGGTTAGGGTCCTGAGTATGTGCGCCTTGATGTCCCTGGTTGTGGTTCTCTTTTTTTGTCCTTCTGCTAAAGGCGAAAAGACCCCGAAAGCAGTCGTGCAGTACGTCGTGCCTGACCTCTTAAGCTTGGTTGTCGGGTAGACGGCCCTTGTTTTCCCTACCTACAGACCCAGTTTCTTTCACTTGAAGGGCGCATTTCCTGTTTGTCAATCTTCGCCTCCATTGGCAGGACAGTAAGCAAGCGTTGTTTTATATATCTCAGGGATGACACTAATTTCTCTCTTTGTTCTAGAAATGAGGACATAAAAAATCAGGGCTGCAGATTTTGATCTAGAAGTTGTTGCTCGTCGCATCTAAAGCGCACAAATGTTCTCTACATCCCAAACTCCGTCACCTGTCCACGTTCACTACCCGTCAATGAAACGAATCTCTTCATATTCGTGGATGTTTAGGCGGGGAGTTCGTTTGCGACGTTTGTGTGCGGAGGCGTCTTCGAACAGCTGGCGATCGCGCACGACCTGTCAAGAAAGAACGAAGTCTGCCTTAGTGGCGAGGTGAGGGAGTTACAGCTATCTGGTTCACGGGAGAGGGTTTGATCCTGCGTTGCGGTCTAGCAGGATTGCCACGTCCGAACTGCTGAAGAGTCGGGATGGAGCACGTGTGAAGGCTGAACGAATAAACAGTGGAAGGATGGAGCTCGAAAGGTTGTCCTGTACATATTTTCGCGTACCACATCACGACCAGCACCGCGCCTCGAGGCCAACAACTCGAAATAGTTTCCTTGGTATCTCCCTCCGGCGACCCTCTATTTCTCTCTCCGGTTGTCCTTTGTCCGAGCCACAAACCGTTCCTAGGCATCGATTGGCAATATCCGAGAGTGCCCAGGAGCGAACATGTTCTCAGGACAAAGTGGCAGACGATGCATCGTCTCGACCCTCTCTTCACAGGCTGCTTGTGCCCGTTGACAGGGGGCACGCCGTGCTTGTGTGCGAGGCGAAAAAAATGCTCTGTGCCTGTATGGCATCTTGAACCACCTTCATAGCATGCTTAGGGGAGATGGGAAACTGGTTTTTGGAATGATTTTGTTGTTCCTTGGTGTTCCTTGGTGGCAGGCGGTTGCGTTGACCGGCTACTGGCTAGACCTATGGGATCACCCCGAGCACGAAACGTGTAAAGTGCTAAAGGGGATCAAAGAATTTGGTGATGGAAAGCAGCAGCAGCAGCAGCAGCAGCAACAGCAACAGCCTGAATCGGGGCCTCCTGAGACTCAGGCATCAACCTCAGCGGCGGAGGAAGCTAAGCCTCCTGGAGTCTTGCAAGGGCTCAACCCTGCCAAGGTGATTGGTTGGTACACGTGTGTCGCGTCGTTTGACCCCGCAGGTGCGTTCCTGGAAGCCCACCTGGGAGACTTAAGCCCCAATGTTAGGTATTTAGTGGAAAGAATTGTAAGGGATGACAACTCTAGTTTGCGTGCGGTATGAAAGATACGATGACACCGAAGTAGAGCATCTTGCCAGAGAGAAGAATAACCAACAATATTCGGAAATTGCCTGAAGGTGTGTTTTGGTACGTCTGAATTGAGTACTCCATTGTACTTTATATGACCGGTCGCCCCGGTAGTCTAGTCGGTATCCTCGAAAATCTTCCGGTGGTCATGGTCAGGGGATCGAATCTCGGCGCAAGGGAGCTTTTCTTGCAAAGTGAGTTTTTGTCTCGCTTTGTTCCTGGCGTGGGTGGAAAGCGCTGGTTCGTGCGTGCACAGAGGGAATAGAGTGTGCTCCACTCTTCTCGCATGAAAAACCGAAGGCAAACTACCGCAGGAGGGGTGGGTAGGGGGGAACCCTTCTGTGAGGCCACGGGTTGGAGTAGAACGGCACAAGTGCTGTGAGCGCTGATTTGAGATAAAGACAAACAAACACAATAAAATTGTATGTGGAAGAACATAACGTGTACCTCGCGCCGCGCCTTGGTCGTTAAGAGGAAAAACGTCTGCGCTCGCAAAACTCGTCATGTTTTAGAGTGACGAGAGAAAACACACCGCTCGCTCGCCACCTTCATGACCATGTACACGTTTGCCCCGTCAACTTCCGGGGTTTGTTTATCCGCGAAATAGGCTACGATGCCTAGCTTGTACACCAGTGTTTCAAAGGACACTAACGTGTGCACGAGACTGAATATGACCGCCCCTGAGTACGACGGGCTGACAGAAGACCTAAAGAGTTTCATCCCAAGCTCGGTTCTTGACAAAATGGAGAGCGTTCGAGGGGACGCGGCGAGCGGGATCGCCTTGGGAGAGCTCCGACAGGTGGACACTACGACAGCTTTGCACTACAAATTTTCCTATCGCGTGAACATGCACAAGTTTACTTACTACAAAGTAGAAGCTTCTCTCGATGTTTCATGCTTATGGTTCGTTGCAGGTGCGCTGTTGCGGGTGCGTAATGTTGCGGGATAAGTCGTGGTGCATGATAAGAATGGACCGTAGAAGTAAGATGCAGAGGCGCATGAGGCATTGAGGTCTTTCCTGGGTGTGCCCTGGCACAGAATTTCACGACCTCACCGGGACAAGGTCTTTTTCAATGATCGGCAACATACCGATCCTGTAGACCATCGCCTGCCAGTTGATCGAACGCGGCATCCTGACTCCCGACCAAGAGGCTTACGTTTGTTGGTGTTCACGCTTGCACTCACTCTCATGTTTGCTTGGTCCTGACGCAACTGATCAAAAGCGAGCTACAGAGTGATGTCTGTGTTGTCAACGTGTTCAGGTGCGGATCATGTGGGAACAAAAAAAATGAAACGGACCCGCCAAACATTTCAGGGGTCGGATCCGACCCCTGAAATGCTGCGGACGTACTTTTCACTGTTTTGGGTTTTGAAGGAATGGTTGGTGGCATGGAACTACAGAGATATGTCTCGCAGGAATCCAAATCCGGACTATTTCCCGTTGGGGAATTATTTCCCAGAAAGAATCAAAGCAATAACTTTATTAGTCGCAACGGCTTTCAGCAAAACAGTAATATCTCTATCCATGGTTGTTGGAGTTCCGGAAAAAACGTTTTCTCAATGATCAAGATCGCCTGTTAAATTTTGATGTCTCCCGTTCAGGGCACGGTTGGGTTCGTGAAATTCGATATCAAGGACATCAACAGCAGCGCTTGCGCCAATCCGGAAGACGGTATCAAGGAAGTGGCTCAGGTGGCGATGATGGGCTTTCGAGAAGTCCTGATTGCCGGAGGCTACGTGAACAAGGTGACACATGGTTGGAGCTATACTCCCGACCTTGGTTTGGATGTCGCCGCACGAATCATGGACGAAATCACACTTGTGTTCTTGAACTCTGCAAGGGACGTGAATTGTCTCGCAAACGTATTTTGTAGTATCTCTAACGCCAACTTTGCGGAGAGTTTCCTCCCGAAAGCCTGGCGGCTGCAAGATTCTCTTTGGTTCAACAGTATGTCTCAGCTAGTCGCTAGTTTGACCTGTGTGGATCGAATATCGTGCGATGGAAGACTCGTGAGAAGTTTTTTTTTTTTTACCTGATATCCATCCTCGCCCATTAACTAGCGCATTGCCACATGCATACCAAACCCCAAACTGCAACCCGACACAAAATTTCATTCTCAGGCTCCTCGGTGCTCGCTTTGTGCTAGTGAAGTCTCTCTCCACAATAGGTCATGCAAGCGTCGTCATCGAGAAACATCGTCAACAATCAACAAGCAAACGGTATTTCTCGTGTATCGCCTGCAAAGTGTAGGGTCTCAACTACCGTTTGGTGCTATGTCATTTTTTCGGCTACAGGTTATAATGGACGAAAAAGGTGAGCGTCCCGTACACTACCGTCGACTCGGACGTCTTCCGCATTGTTTCGGTCGCGTGACGACCACGTGACAGGTACACCGGGTGACGCAAGAGGATCGACCGCGGGAAGAACAAGGATGAGTTTTTGGTGCAGGAGAATATGCATTCTGTCGACGTTGGGCCCCGGGGGGGGGGGGGGGGGGGTGTACTCATAGTCGTGCATGCCGTAGTCGTTTGACCATTGACCTCGCATCCCTACAAAGCCGGGACGGAGCACGCCGGGTTCTCACCGGACCAGGCTCTCACATCACCAAGCGCAAAGCGCCGTGAGGTATTTGGCGAGTCGCATGAAGGGTGAGCTGCATCCTGCTAAGGGTGTTCGGCATCTTGTGCTTACTTCCCTGCGTACGGATGACAGCTACGTATGACTTAATTTATTTTCTGGTGCTTTCACTTCCAGAGACAGTTGTAAGCACTGTGTAACTGCCTCGAGGAAGCTTGACCATTTTAACACAACGTGGTGCGATCATCCCCCGTTGCGCGGAGTGAGGGTTCTCGACCCCGCACAACATGATCAACTCGACCACCATTATGGTTACCGCCAAAAAAAAAACGAGGTAAAAAAAAAAAACGGTAACCTGGTTGTCGAGTTCACGAAGTGAATTGGCTTGTTTTACAACGTCGTTGCCAAGCGACGAAAACCCAATCCCGATGGCAAACACCGAGTGGGGGGCTTGTTTTACAACGTCGTTGCCAAGCGACGAAAACCCAAACCCCGATGGCAAACACCGGGGGGTGCGGTACCAACGGGGGCGGGTTTATTGCAACGAGGTGGGCAGAAGGTGGGGGGCAGGCGGCGGAACAACTACCTTTAGTGACGTTGAAAGGCCGCATGTGGTTTCCTGAAGCGGTTGGTTCTCAGTTAAAGGTTGTCTCGGCTACAGACCTACGAGTACTATGAGGCCTTGAGATCAAGCACAACGTGGCCTATTTCATTTGGCGCAGGGCTCGTTCTGTTGTACGCTTTCGGAACACCCGGGTGCTCCTATGAGTACAACAACCTCCATGCGATCCGAGTGGCGCTCATGATCGTTATGTCCTCCGATGAGCGGTTCAAGAGGAAGACTGGTGTCGGGATCGCCACGGGTCACATGTGCACGGGAATCATCGGAAAGCCGAACTTCAGGTGAGGGTTAGAGGCCCTGAAAAAAGCTGCGGTGTACCTTGTGTTGTCGGCCTCGTGGTTGTGGCCGTGCATTCCCGTGTGAGGGGCCACGCACACACGGGCCACCTTACGGTCCACCTTGTAATCGCCCATGCACACACACCGCAACCTTCACCAAACCTCAGGTCAGAGTATGCCCTAGCCGGGGACGTGGTCAACCTGGCGGCGAGGCTTGCCGCCGCATCGGAGAAGGGAGAAAACGGCGTCCTCTGTGACGAAGCAACGCTACAGTCTCTGACCGGCGAGGTATGCAAGGGCCGGCGATACCCATGACCACGGGATGCATACAGTCGAGGTCCCTGTTTAGTGCCGGGGTGTGCGCAGAAAATTCACCGGCACTCTACCGGGCACCGGCACTATAGTTCAGAATGCCTGAATAGTGCCAAAGCGGCACTATTCAGGGTCTGAGAATCTGTCAACAGTTCCGGTCTGGCACTATTAACGAGAACTTCTGTGTGATTTCAGTACAGCGCTTTGCGAGGCCAACAGAGTACCATATTTAACGTAAATGGTCAGAACATGGAATGGGCGGCGCGGGCAGACTGTTGTGCCACGATAGGAATGGTTGATAACCTGTCGAACACACAGATTTTGCTGTAGAAAGTTAACTCGGCGGGACAGACACGCACAACTTCACAAGACTATCGCAAAGAACACACTTACGAAGTACAATATACCTCACAGCTGTGGCATTGGTCTTGCAAGGATCAAACCATTCCGGGCAAGCTCAACTACTCGACAGCGAAAGAAAGATGGTCACTCAGGCACCCGATGCATCTTTGGCGGTAATAATTTATGTTTGTGAAGCTCCAGTGCATACACTCCTACCGTAGACGAAAGGAAGCAAGACCTCACTTCTTCTTGCGCTCCTTCGATGTAGCGAGAGCAGGGAGAAAAACGTGTGTGTTATTATTATTAGCTCAAATGATGTGTGTGTGTTTTTATTTTTAGCATCGACCGCGCTCACCGGCTGACCAATGAAAAGACGTCAGTCTCAGTGCGGCTGAAAATGATGTGTGTGGGTTTATTCTTAACATCGACCGCGCTCACCGGCTGACCAATGAAAAGACCTCAGTCTCAGTGCGGCTGAAAATAATGTGTGTGGGTTTATTATTAGCATCGACCGCGCTCACCGGCTGACCAATGAAAAGACGTCAGTCTTAGTGCGGTTGAAAACACAAAACACTTATATGTGCCATGAACTGGGACCCCGTGAGGGGGCAGCATGGGGGAGGCTAAACTACCCTCCGGATCAAAGACAGAAACGGTAGCAACAGAAGATACTGCACGCGTCTACCAACTGTGTGTGATTATTACTGTGGCCGCAATGATCGCGCAAACCGACTGGCCGATGAAAAGACGCGGTCGTCAGTCTCAGTGTGGAAAGAGGAAATTGTTAATGCTACCAAAACCCGTGATCTGGGACCCCGATGGTTTTTTTTTTTACTAGCATCGACCCCGTGTGTGCGGCGGGTTTATTTTATTTGTGTGTGTTTTCTTACTTAGGATTGACCGCGCTAACCGGCTGACCAATGAAAATACGTCAGAGTCAGAGTGCGGTTGTTAAGCTACTCTCCGCACTAACGCTAGACTAACGCTAGAAACGGTAGCAATAGAGGAAACTGCACGTGTCTGCCAAGGCTGCCGCTTTATACGCGCGTTCCTCTCGGAGTGCTTTTCACTGTGCTTTTTTTTCACCACCACTCTCGTCGCCAGTTATTGCAACTATTATTGGCGGACCCTCAACGTGTGTGTTTGTGTATATTTACACTCTAACTGGCTGAACAATGGAAATAAATAGAAGTGCTACGCCAGTCAGTCTCAGTCGGCTGGAAACAGAAAATGTTTCTCAAGGCCAAGTTCGGGACTCCATGAGGTGTGTGCGTGCTTGAACCGGCACTATTGTGGGGTTCAGTGGGGCCCAAACCGGCACTATAGTGGGCAGCTCTGAATAGTGCCGGTCTGGCACTATTCAGGGTGGGTTCTTTGCGCCGAGATTTGACCGGCACTATACCGGCAACCGGCACCATTCAACCGGCACCATTCAACCGGCACTAAACAGGGACCTCTACTGCTGTACCGCATTTCGCCCCGACCTGGGTCGACAACGTAGGGGGGGTGTACTCATAGCCGTGCATGGCGTAGTCGTTAGACCATTGACCTCGCATCCCTCCAAAGCGGGGACGGAGCACGCCGGGTTCTCAACGGACCAGGCTCTCACATCACCAAGCGCGAAGCGCCGTGAGGTGTTCGGCGAGTCTCATGAGAATTGTGCTGCATCCTGCTAAGGGTGTTCGGCATCTTGTGCTTTCTTTCTTACGTACGGATGACAGCTGCGTATGACTTAGTTTATTTTCTGGTGCTTTCACTTCCAGAAACAGTTGTAAGCACTGTGTAACTGCGTCGAGGGTGCTCGACCAATTCAACACAACGTGGTGCGATTATTCCCTTTTGCGCGGAGTGACGGCTCTCGACCCCGCACAACATAACCTACTCGACCACCATTCGTGGTTACCGCAAAAAGCAACCAAAGGCAAAAAAAAGCGGTAACCTGGTTGCCGAGCTCACGAAGTGATCGTCTTGTTTTACAACATCGCTGCCAAGCGACGAAAACCCAACCCCGATGGCAAACACCGGGGGGGGCGGCTTGTTTTACAACGTCGTTGCCAATCGACGAAAACCCAACCCCGATGGCAAACAACGGGGGGAGGGCGACCAACGTCTCGGAGGGGGGGGTTCTTTTGAGGTCGAGGGATGGGGTGGGATTAACTTTGTAGAGTCCCGGATGGAACATACAATGGTTTGTTTTTCAAAGAACCAGGTATAGAATGGCTGCTTGTACGCGTAGCCGTACCCGACCCCGGGTATTTCAACAAGGGCGAATCCGGTACAAGAAGCTTTTCCCGTGGGTTTGCCAGCCCTTTCCGTAGTGTCGAGTAAGTGTACAACCTTTCCAAAGGGTCGGATACATGCATACCCAGCGTAATTCACCCGTACCTCTTACCGTACACAACGTTTGGAACTTACCAAAACGTAATAACCTGAAAGAGTGGAAATGGTGAGATGGGGTACAAAATATTCAATCGCTATGGGTACAGTTCCCAGTGCTATTTAGTGTGTCCTTGCCCGTCTTAACCCTAGAGGGTGTGGTTTTTCTTGACCCTGGCAGGAATCGATTCACCACGAAGCGATGATCGGGATTGAGGTTATCAGCGTGGGATCTATGAGACCCAAGGGGAAGAGCTACGACATCAACGTATTTCAGGTTAGTCGACTAAACGACCAAGGATGTATTGAACATCAGCAGGTTTTTGGACTTGACCGCATAACGGCACCTTGTTGAGGTGCGCCTCGAAACCTGGGTTAGCGCGACTCTTGCCCCATCACCGTTACCCGAATGCTCAGGTTTTCTGAAGGTTGAGCCCTGTTCCACCACTCTCTTGCTAGGCCAGTGGCCCGTTGTGTCACCGTACGCCGCAACTTGTTACATCGTACCTTGTTCTGTATGGGGACTCTCCTACCACCATGGCACAGCATGCAAGATACAACTGATCCGCTCGTGACATTTCGGCTTGGTGACTAAGACTTGTGCTTGCCTGAGGCGACGTCTCGAATATTCGACCACACAAGCAACCAATCACTGATGTATAAGGTCTCGCTACCCTTAGAGTAGTAATCTAGACAAATCTTCTCTCCCGCATCCGCACCTTCAACTGTCGTTTTATTCGTTGGGATAAACTTAGACGACAAACCGTCCGACGACTGGCTGGTGAATCAGGAGAAAATCGACTCAACAGTTAGTGCCTTCAAGTTCCCAACAAAGCTGCCGTAATCGTGACATACACTCCGCTTCTCACCTTCTCACCTTTCCCACCCCGCGCGCTCTGCTCGCGGTAAACGCTGGATGTAAAACTCATGCAATTGCACGGTCGTTGTCAGCTAAACAACGTTCGAGATACTCGTCGAGAGCACCTGAAACGGAAAGAGCTCGAGAAAACTGGAAAGACCCTTGCGGTTGTGCCGAGACGTAGTATCAAGTTCGTCCCCGTCGAGAGCAGGGCCCAACCTCTGGAACAGGTGATGCTCATCCTTTTCGACTACTGCTCAGGGGTGCTTATCTCGCGTCTCTCAGTTTTAGGACATGGCACTGCTGTATTTTGTGGCAAACCGTCGTCCTTTGTCGTGCCTTCTCGAGACTCCCTTCTCCAAATGGAGAGCTGCAGATCGATCAAAGACCCCCTAGACTGGGTTCTGGCGAGTCCCGACTCTCCAAGTAGGGTAGGCGAACACCATAGGAACTTATGCATATGATAGGAGTGTTTATTGCTGTCCATCTCTAGACTGGGTCTGACACCCTGACTCACGAGAGGTTTGCGTGCGACAGGGAGAAGAACGGGCACGGGGCTAACCAAACGTTGTTGTCGTTAAGGCAATTTATCCATCGCCTCTGCGTGTGTAGGCATAACCTAGAGTGTGACCCATCCCGACTTTTGGCGTGCACGTTGGCCGACATATCGGCCGGTGCGCTAGACGATTCCTACCCAGAGAACGCGGTGGTGTTGTGAAGAAAAGATTGTTTGGCGGACAAACTTGATGCGGTCCGCCAATGCTTGTATGTGTCTCCACCTCCCGTTCATTAGGTTTCACATTGACCGCAACGCTCATTTTCGTTGGTGCTCTGGGCCAGATTCGCACCTTCGTTAAAAGGTGCAGCTCTGGGGAAATCAATTGCGTCTACCTGGAATCCGACGGTGGTCTTGGCAAGAGCGAGCTCGTCGCAGCGTTCACCAATGACCCGGGGATTAAGAGGGCATGCCACACCGTATTGGAAACGACGAGAGGCGAAAACGTCAGTATCAAGGGGCGAGATACTCACGTCGTGAAGATGCAGGTTTGTCCGGAAGAAGAGTTCGCAACCCAAGCACTGGTAGATGAATGTACATCTTCCCGGCGAGACGCACTCGTTTGTCGGAAATTGGAAAGGCAGTAGCTGTATCCCAAGGTGTGTCGAGTCGTCGTCGCCGTTGTTGTTGTTGTTGTTGTTGTTCTCGGTGGTGGGTTTCGCATGCCTTGGCGTTTCAGAAATGGGCTTGACCTTTCGCCCGCACTTCAATGCTTCGCACTGCGAGTAACCTGTTGTTTGCGATGAAGAGTAAGGCAACTGGGTAGTATTCCAGAAAACTCGTTGATAAGCTCGCGAGAGTGCGCCCTCACTTATCATCCGGGTTGTCAGTCTTAGAAAGTACCGCATTACCATACCATTGAACGGCGTT